ACCCTAACCCTAACCCTAACCCTAACCCTAACCCTAACCCTAACCCTAACCCTAACCCTAACCCTAACCCTAACCCTAACCCTAACCCTAACCCTAACCCTTAAAATGGATTATATAAGCAATATAACACGTGATATTAAAGAATCTGTATTAAATAAAAATCTTTCTTATTTTATATTCAAAAGGAAAAAGACCTCTTTTTATGCTTTTTCCTACTAATTTAGCTTTTCCGCTTTCGTTAATCTCTTATAGATCTCTTCGTAATCTGTCCATTCTTTCGAAATAAAGCTCCTTTTTGTTTTCTTTATTTTACAACCGTTTTCGTATTTTATGGCCGTTTTCGAATTAATAATCGTTTTCGGATTAATAGTCGCTTTCGTAAGCTTATAAGTGACGATTATATGATCTGATTATATAATAAACTAATTTTAGATTGAATGTCTTTAAAAAGATATATATATTATATTATTTTTTAATTAAAATAATACTTACAAAAAAGTTTAAGCTTTAAATAAATTCTATATTGAATCTCAAAATAAAACTATATTTAAAAAGAAATACTTATTAATTAATTTGAAAAATAATTTAATTTAGATTTCAAAAAAATATAATTCAATTAAATCTCTATTTATTCTTCTTTTCAGATTTTCAAAAAAATCTAAATTATATTCTATAAGGTTGATAATCAATTAATAACTTTTTATTGATTACTACTCTTATTTTTTGTAAAATTATTCAAGCGTTTTTTAATATTTCTTAATATTATTCAAATTCGATTTTTAAGATTAATATTACAAATCAATCAATTTAGAAAATAATTTAATTCAGTTTTCGAATAAATATAATTCAATTGAATCTCTATTTATTCTTTTTTTCAGATTTTCGAAAAAATCCAAATTATATTCTATAAAATTAATAACCAATTAATAACTTTTTATTAATTATTACTTTCATTTTTATAAAATTATTTAAATGTTTTTTGATATTATTCAAATTTGATCTTTAGAATTAATAATATAAATTAATCAATTTAAAAAATAATTCAATTTAGTTTTTAAATAAATATAATTTAATTGATTTCTAATTTATTCTCTTTTTCAAATTTTCGAAAAGATTTAAATTATATTTTATAAGATTAATAATTAATTAACAACTTTTTGCTAATCATTATTTTTATTTTTACAAAATTATTCAAGCGTTTTTTAATATTTCTTGATATTATTCAAATTCAATTTTTAGAATTAATACTATAAATCAATTAATTTAGAAAATAATTCAATTTAATTTTTGAATAAATATAATTTAATTGAATCTCTATTTATTACTTTTTTCAGATTTTCAAAAAAATTTAAATTGAATTCTATTAAATTAATGATTAATTAAAGACTTTTTAATTAATTATCAGCCCTCTATCAAAAATAATTACTAGAGTTAATAATCAACAAAAAATTCCTTAGAATAATAGTTAGAATTAATAATCAATAAAAAATTCCTTAGAATAATAGTTAGTGACTTTTTAACTGATTATTACTTCTTTATCAAAATTAGTTATTAGGATTAATAACCAGCAAAAATTTCCTTAGAATAATAGTTAGACTATTTTCTTGCCAAATATACTAATAGACTCGCTATGCTATCTAAATCTTTTATTAATTCAAATCGACTTTGCTCAGAATACATAAAGTCAGCGTCTTCGAAAGTTTTAATAATCGAAGTAATAAGCTCTTTTATCTGAGTCAAGCAACTCAAGTCTAAAAGCAGTATATCTACTGCCATTTTATAGGATGAGAGCGAGGTTGTAGTGTCTACCTTTCGTTCTCGCGAAACAAGATCGAAAATTTGCGCTCGAATAGTCCTCAGGTCGAGGTTCTTAATCAGTTTCGCGATATCGTCGAGTAGGGTCTCTAAGAGCATCGCTAATGCCGGCACGTGTTCATTCTGTAGTCTTCTCTTTGCATCAAGTATGTGGCCCGCCTTCTTGGGTGTCAGAACCTCAGGTTCGTCCAGCGCTGTAATTTTACCATTTAACAACTGAAAATTCCTCCGGTGTACATTTTCCATTTCAGCTACCTTTTGACCAAGATCAGCGGCGGTTAAGTAGGCATCTTCTGCTCTTGGAGAAGCAAACCTGGGGTATTCCAGGGTCCCGATACGATACGTCTTAAGTTTGTTGCGAATTGAAGGGTTTGACAGATGGCCGACTGCCTTCAAGCTGTCAGTTATGTCTTGGCCGCTGCTTAGCTCGATCAAGGTATCACCACCTGGGTGCCTCTGCATAAACGTGCTCGCATTGTAAACACTGCCTTCTGCCGAAAACCAATACCCAATTTTTTCCGAATTGTGTTTTATGAGTTCGGACATATATAACTTATCTGAACTGGGTCTGAAACTCGTCAAGTGTTCATCTTGATCGAGACATCTCCGTTCTAGACGTGCCTTTTCCAATTCCTGATCGGCTTCTAGCCAAGGCTGATTCCTGCACCTGCGGCCTAGACCATTGATAGTTGTATCTCGACCGATTCTGAACGAGACAGCGAGGAAACCCAACACTTTTCTCCGATGAACTCCCAATAGACCGTCTTTACTATGGTATGAGGATGTAAAAGCATTCCAGATTTCTATCAATTCTCTATCCTTCGAGGTAATGATGTACTCCGTGATAGAAACCTCCCTGATAGCCTCAAGGAACTGTCGCCAGTGGATGGGATATATGGCTCGAACAGCTTTCGCTTCTTTGCCGATACCTGTCTGATATTCAGACCGTCCAGTTAATTCATCCATCATGTGAAAGAAGGGGTGCGCTGTGCCTGCAGCCCCTACCACATCTTTCAGCCAAGGGATTCCCAGATTTGCTACAGTGACCGTCCAAATTAGAGGATCAATATGACCCTTGTGAGATCGATTCACATGGACCTTCTCTAGGGTTCTGGTGATCTGTTTAGTTAGTGTGTGGAGATTTCGTATTGCATCTTTTAGCGAAGAAGAGTTTCGAGCCAAGACAGATCTTTGAGCCTCAATGATCTGATGGAGGATTGGTATTGCTTTAGCGTTCATTTCGATCATTACTCCAAAGAACGTACGCTCTTCTACGTTGCCGACTGTTGGAACGAGCAACTCCAAATTTTCAAGCGTCACATCGCTATATGACAAGCTAGTTGATGTAAAATTTGCTACCATCATATCAATTAAGGTAAGAGCTGGAGTTGATCGCCCAAGACGTTCGCACACGATAGCCCACGGAATAAAAAGTGATGCCGGTAGTATATCGCTATGGCGATCATATTTCAATGTAAGAGGCTCGCTTCCTTCCAGGCGAACAAAGGCATGAGCCGTCATTCCGAGAATGGTGGCAGCCCGCTGGAGATAGAGTTCGGGCAAAGCTTTGGCAGAAGCGTCAAGAAGTGGCATTTTGGTGACAGTTTCTCGGACAGTCTGTGTTTTGACAAGGTGTGGTAATGCAGCAGCAAGTTGGTCCCATGCCGCATGAGAAGGTGGAAGAGCCTTTATTGTTCGTAAGGGTGAAAATCCAGCTCTTTTAGACAGAAATCCGAAATTCTCGTGTCCATGGCAATGATTTGTCCGCTCTGCCTGCTCAATTATTACCTCGCAGGGAGGCGAGATACAAGGACCCTACAGGATATCAGCAGACGAATCTTCGGAAAATATTAGTGCAACAATATACACACGTGAGTTTTATAACGATTCACTGTCCCTGAAAGTATAATCACAAACAAAAAAATAATCCCAAGAACCCAATTAACGTTATAGGGCGATAAGATATCTTTTTGTAACAGCAAGAAGTCTTCGAAAACTTGACTGAGATTGCTGTATGCTATACTGGGTAATATACTGAGAATAAACATTTTATACGACTCCTACAATGAATTGTAATATTATATCTGCGAAAATGGGGCTGCGGCTCGTAATAAATACTCTTAGAGTGTGAAGATTCTGACTCACTGGGCTAAGACCTCTGGATGAGACTTATCATTTCATTGCATTTGATCTACACTTGATGATGGCGCACCTTAGTAAATGTCTCGAACGATACATATAGATATGTAGATCGCTTTTGTTTTATAGCTCATCGCTAGTAACACCTAGAGTGTCAGTTCTATTGTGACTGCGACTATAGGTTTGCTTCTTCTTTTGTATATATCTCAAGATAAGTAATGTGTATATATGCTTTAGTATCGATAGCTTTAATATTTAATCGTCAGTGTTCTTATTAGTATTCAATATTTTGAATATTAATATAAAAGTGATATAATTACCCTTTATATCTATGAACTCTTATATTAAAAGCTTAATACACGCCACCGTTATACTACCGTATACTGCAAGTACGAACACTATTAATCATACACTAACCGATCACCAAAACCTGCCCTGTAATTACTCCACCTGAAATTAATATGGAATGCGTATATACTATCATAATAGGGCGTATACAAGATAAGTCATATCTGCTACAACGACGACCAGGGCTTGAGGTAGAGTGTGTAGAGTAGGGAAAGCAGATTGGGTGTATAGCTTCTGTCATCTGAGGGCTTTATCCGGCTAAGAGAGTGCGACCTTTGGGTTAAGAGATTGAAGACGCATTATCTTATAATCAAGGGTCCAGGATAGAACATTGGCGCGGCTAGTCTAGACATTAAATTCATACATTCATTAACATCAGCATCATTGACAGCATCATTAAACAATTTTGATATTCACTATGCTCATACTCTCACAAAATCATGTTACTAGAAGATGATTGTTTGATCCTTCGTAGGTGGCTATATATAGGAACGAATGAGACAATAACACATGAGAAAAATAACGACTAAAGCTTAGCAAACTTTGCTCCAATTTGGTCGAGTATAGCCGCATGATCTTTACTGTAAGTATCACCATCTCTGGTAATCACTTCATGCACCCAAGAGCCACGAGGGTGAAATGAAGCCTTGAAAGGCAAAGCCCGCATGACGAAGCCGTAGGTGCACGCTAGAGGATCAATTGGGACGAGCTCGCCTGTCTCAGACAAGCCAGCCTTGATATCGAATGACCATAGTAGTTGCGCGACAACGACCCAGATGATATCACGGGCGAAATACCGGCCAGGACATATCCGTCTTCCATAACCGAAGGCGGAAGACGGGATATCTTTGAGTGTTTTGCCGTCCTCCTTGAGCCAGCGATTTGGTATAAAATTATCAGTATCCGGGCCAAACAAAGCCTCTTCCCGGGAAATTGCCCATACATTGGCCATGATGATAGATCCCTTAGGAATAGTATATCCGTTGTAAGATATCTCCTCTTTATTTAAATGAGGGACTCCCTCTGGGACAACGGGTCGCCAACGTAATACCTCCTCGACGATAGCAGTGACATACGGTAGGTTGGGCTTATCATCTGGAACTGGGAATCGATCGCGCCCCACAACAGCGTCCAGCTCTTTGCGTGCAGTGGCTATGAAGCCCCGATCTTGCGTGATACACGCTACCACAAACCAGAACAAACTATCTGTAGTTCCATCTAGCCCAGCGTCAATCAAAGTGCCAAGGTCGAATGCCAGCTCATACATAGACATCGCAAGGCTATCTTTTTCGAGAGTCTTCTTGAGCTGCTTTGATATATTCCACGAATCTGAATCTAGACCACGCTGAAGATTTTTATTGCGCATGTTATATTTGGTCGTGTAGTGATTCTCAGCTTTTGCTTGCCAAGGGGCTAAGAAACCGGGTAGATTGTTAAGTACAGGGAACTGGTCAACAATGTGTGCGCCGACCTGTATAAACTCTGAGAACTCATTATTGGCCTCAACAATAGCTTGAACCAGCGGGTCATTGTGGTCTTTGATACGAAAGCCATACAGCAATGTATGAATAATGCTGGCAGTTGTGCGGTGAAAAAGACCCCGAACATCAATACCAACCCTGTCCGCACTGTCCAGCAGGTCGTACATCAATTGATGCGACTCCATAGTCTGGAAGGGAAGATATGCAGCTACCTGAGTCGCGTTCAGCACTGAGGACTGTAGCCTCTGATGTTGTCGAAATTGCTCGGTATAATTCATCATAAGGATATTTAATCCTTTCAAGGCCAGCTCCGTCGCCAACTGCAAAATCCCAAACAAATTAGCTCATGTTCTCTTTTTATGTATACATAGGAGATGAATTCACAGCAGGGAGCGTATAATGTTTATCTTACAAAAAGACGAGGTCGGTCTGAACATACAGCTCCCCGCTTCGCCAAGACGTCATGGGCTGCTTCATTTGTAGACAAAATGATGATAGACTGGCCAAGCATGTTGACATAGACAATCGGCCCATACTGTTTGTTCCATTCGCAATATGTTCTCCAGCCATGTGACTTAGGAGCTTGATGGGTGTTGCCAATTATCGGCAATGGCTTAGGGCCTGGTGGCAGTGGCAAGGCTGAAATTGATTTGCGCCGCGTAACAATATACACGCTTACTAACAGTCCAGCAAATGCGACTACGCAAGCTGCTGACCACATCGTGATTGAAATATACTGTTATAGACTAAACAAAAAGCTTCGTGAACAAGATTCAAATTTTTGACAGTGGAAGCAGGCTAAGTACTCTTAATTAGCCAAAACTCCCATTGGTCGGGCCATCCTCCCTCGATGCGCCCAAGGGGTAGAAAAAAAGAAAGATAATCTAAGAAATCTTTTTGATCACGAGTTCCACTGCGTCTGTTTCACAAAGCTGTGTTTAGAACTTTTGAAGCAAAGTCAAGGGCTACTTGGAAGTGTAGAGCTCAAAACTTGTGAATCTGATTCAAAGTTTGGATGATCATTCAATCGGTAAGTCAGATCTCATTTTATATATGAAGTATTATGATGTAGTTGATTCAGAAGTCGGTCTTTCCTTGGAGCTTGGTTGATACTAAGATAAAATCTAACCCTTTCAGCCCCTACCCCTACACGGTGACCACTCTACACCGTGAAAGGAAGGCACAGACGTCTTTGGGGTGCGCCTCAATTGACCAGACTCCACATGAGCCCCACTACACGGTGTGAGGGTAAGTCGTGTAAAACCCACTTTCAGTGAAAACTTACTGTTTTAACTAAATCTATTATTGCTTTAAGAATTTTTAATAGATATTAAGCTATTCCCCCAAAATTCAAAGTTTTGAAGTTTTTATTATATTTTATTGATTTTAATAGTTTTATAGCTTTTAAAATATCTAAAGCTTTCTATAAAATTTAAATAGAACTTTAAATAATAATTGAATAAAAAACTAATGATTTTACTTGAAATTTAAATTATTTTGAATAAGATATAACTTTTAAAATACTTCGATATACTAAAGTTTATTATATAAATATTCAAATAGTATTACAATTTAATTTATTTAAAGCTTAAAAATAAAGAAAAACTTAATTACTTTTTAGTTTGTTTTATAGTACTTATCCTTCTAATTATTATACAAAGGTTGAATAAGTAAGTAATATAAAATATATCTAGATATATCCCTACTTTTACTATTTAAACAAATCAAATCATATCGCTAATTGAAAATTTATATAGTGAACTCTAGATAGTAAAAGTATTATAAAGATTATATTTTATTCAAAATTATTAATTTTGATTAAAGTTTAAATTTGAATTCCTATTCTAAATCTATTTAGAATCTATAGAAAGCTTTAAATACTTCAAATACTATAAAATTATTAAAGTTAATAAAAAGCAAGAAAAAGCTTTAAATATTCAATTTTAAGGGGGGAAGAGTTTATTATCTATTTAAATCGCTTAAAGCAGTAATAAAAGCTCTAAAAACAGTCAGATTGTATTAAAATTAAGTTTTATATTAATTACTTATATGACCTCTATATATTAGCGAAATGACTAAAGGGAATCTACTATCATTTGAAAGAACTTTAATAATTTTAATGTCTTTTCGAAATGAGATTAAACAAGTAACTTTTAAATTTTCATCAAAAAGAAGAATCAAATTTTTACTTAATCTCTTTAGATCGTAATCTTTATTTAGATTAAATTTATAAAAATCCATAATAAGCCTGTTAAATCACTTATTAATATCTTACTAATTAAGAGATATCTTGATGACTAATATATTTTTAATATGATTCTATAACGTGGTTTATTATTGAGTCGTTAATATTATTGGGTCACTATTTTTTTTTTTAATTATTTCAATTTCGTATTATTTAATAATTACTTAATTAATTAATTAAAATTATTAAGGATTTAATAATTTAGAATCTATTATATTATTTTGATAAGTTCTTAAATTATAATTAGTTTTTTTATATATATTATAATATTGGTTAAAAAATATTTTTCTATTAAAATTCCTTCTTTTTTAATGCTTATTATATTGAATTTAAATATTAATTTTTTGTTGAAATAATATATTAAAAACCTTTTATTTAATAAATACTTTTTCTTAATATAATTGAATCTTTTTTATATATTGATATTTATTTAATACTTTATTTATCTTTTGAAGTATACAGTTTTCTATATTTAAAAATATATTTTTATAAGTTAATCTTTTTATATTTTTAGTTAAAATTAATATAGTTTCAAATATAAATATAAAAAAATTTAATTGATACTAATTTATTTGAAATTTTATTAAAGTTGATTCAAAAAGAGCTTCAATTGGATTGTAAGGGGTTTAAGAGATTTAAGGATTTAAATTGAAAGGGGGGGGGGTAGATATATAAATTCGAATATCTAATTTAGAAAGTATAACTTTAGGATTAAATAATATTAATTAATTCCCTAAAACCTAGCTTTTATATTCTAAAATATAATTAATTAATAATATATAGCTTTGAAAACTATAAAGAATTCAATCTTAAAAATATAATTGATATATGTTTTAATAAATTTATCAATTTGATTATTATACAAACATTTTAGAATATTAAAATATTTAATATCAAATAATTAAATTAAATAACTAGAATATACTAATAGTTTTATACATACTATATTATTTACTTTACAATATAATTAAAAAGATATTGATTTATAATTTTTATATTTATTTAGTATTAATATTTAATATTTGCTTTTTCTTTGATGAATAATATATTTGTTGAAATACTTTAACTATTTTAATTCTATTTTATTATTTATTTATTTCTTAGAAATAGATTTAATAATCTAATCTACAAAAAAATTAATTTCGGTATATCAATTCGAAAGGTGGATTTATTCTTAAATTATTAGAAATGGAGGTATAATTTTACCCTCTTTATTATTATATATAATTGCTATAGTCCATTCTTAATTACCTAATTATATTATCTTACTTTTATTATTTCATTTAATATTAATTACAATTATATAGGTAATTATAATCCTTATTATAAAGTCTATTTTGTTGAAATTATAGAAATTATAGTTTTAAATATAATATTTTACTTATATATTTAGTATTATTTAAAATTATTTTTTAATAAGTTTAAAATCTTTATAAAGAACTTTTTAAAAATTATAAATGTGATTAAAATATATTTTTAATTTTGTATAATATTTTATAAATCAATAAATCTAAAACTTTTTAATCTTTTTTATTTTTTATAATTTAAGAATATAATTTACTATATTTTTTATATTATTCAATTTAGGTATAAATCCTTTATTATTCATATTAATTATATATTCAAAAAATATTTTCTCTTTTAAATTTAATTATTTTATATTTATTTGCTTGAATATTTATTTGATTATTTCAATTATTAATTTTATTATATAATATGAATCGAAATATTAAATAAATTTTTATAATTTTTATAATTATCAAATTTTTAGATTTTCGAATAGTTTTAATAACTAAGATAATTTAGATTTTTTTTGATTATATTTTTATAATTATTTATTGAAATATTGCAAATTAAAATTGAAGTAGTTGAATAATAAAAAAAGTGGTAACCTGGTAATATTAGTAATTTGATGATAAATCATATTATTATAAAATTATATTATTATATAGTTATATATTAGTATCTCTTATCAAATTGATTTAGAATGAAATAGAATCAAATGAAAGCATATAGAAGATTATTATTAAATTAATTAAATTTGATTGGTTGTACTTTCTTTTTATTATATAAAATAATTCCATAAGATTCGATTTAAATTAATCTTATCATGGATCGCACTCAATCGCATGTAATCGCTTACATGTATATATATATATGTGTATAATTATATATATATAGCTAATATATAGGAGCACTCTATAAACATTTTGCTTTCGATTCTGTAATTATAAATTCTAAGAATAAATTATATCCTGTTTTTGTAATTCTTCTAAAACAAAGTGTTATATTATCTATAACTCATTATACAATTATATAGCTATCTAATAACTAATTAAATAATATTTTATAATTTAATACCTTCTTAAATGAATTATACAAATTCGATATTATTTATAGAAAGAAGATTTATTTCGAGTAATCTTTAATAAAAATAATTTATTAATAAATATATAAATTATAAGTATTATTATTATATTTATATCTATTAATTCTAATATCAATTTATTTATATTTATGTTTGGTGTATAATAATTCCTAATCAGCTTTTTTGTTTAGTTTTGTTTAGAGTAAACTTATATAAATAATAATAATATTGTTTTTGAATTTGGTATTAATATTAATAAAAAAGGAAAGGATAAGGAAAAGGGAATTATTTATTAATCTTGAAATAATATTATTCAAATTGATATTCAAATATAATTAATTATAGATTAAATATAGATACTTGAATCCTTATAAAAACAAATTATTAGATTACAAATATAAGTTAATAATATTCAAAGTATTATTAATTTGTTTTATATTATTTCTTAATAATCTTATATATCTTTTTTTAAGAAAAGCAAAGTTCAAACTTTTAATATTTTTATGAGATTTATTAAATAGAATATTTTTATATTTAAAAAAAAGAAAAATTGTTTTCAAAAATATATTTTAAAATAATCTTACTTTTATTTAGAAAAGAGTATTTACTTATTAATAATTATATTCAATTGTAATTTACTATTTTATTAAATACTTTATTTTCGTTTTAATATTATTTTTATAGAAAAACTATATATTCTGAAATTTATTAATCTTTTATTAAAACTTAAAGATAATATAAAACCAAAAGTAGATCTATAATAGCTATTAATTATAAAATAATTAAAGCTATATATAATATTATTTGTTTTAGAATTATAATATTGATTTTATATAGCAAATCAAATGAAAGAAAAAGCTTAATAATATTTGTACTTTTTATATACTCAAATCCCTTTTTTAATAGAATTATAATTAGTTGATAAACTTATAATAATTTATAACAATTTTGTTGAAATCAATTATATATAAATTAAGTATAAATATTAGATTATATTTAATAATATTTAAAAAAGTAACTTTATATTATAATATTGAAAATTTTAATTATTTATTATATAAATGGAAATTATTGATAATAAAACTCTCTTTTATAATTTAAAAAGAAA